AGTCACTTGACCTCCACACCGTGGGAAGGATAACATCTCTCACAGAGCAGTAGCAATAACTCACGGGAAAGCACAGTGTTCAAAGGCTGCCATGAGCCAGGCATCATTTCATAGACTCACAGAATGTCGGAGTGGCCAGCAGCCTTGGAAATCATCTCTACAAGGTCCTGTACATGCTTTGCTTAGCATGCGTAGAGCCTGCTGCATAATCAAAGCTCACTCAATGTCGCTTTGCTTAAGGTCACATTCCGCTAGCGTAGAGCCTGCTGCATAATCAAAGCTCACTCAATGTGTATTTTTGAATTAATAGAATTAGCCCAACCCTCTTCACTTTGTAGAGGAAACCATCCTGAGGCATAGTGGGCACAAGACATTTGTGGAAGAGCTGAGGCTGGTCCCAGGTCCCCAGTTTCTTGCCCCCTGGTTCACTCTGTAAGCACTGTCTTCAGGCCCAGAAGCATCACCACAGCGCATTCTCTGTGTCCCAGCTCGTTGCATTTAGCATCTGGGTCATTCATCCCCAAGCCTGACCCTCTGGGAAGCAAGGCTAGCCAGAGCCTTAAGAGGCTCCTAGCAAACTCCCAACTGCTCCCTCCTGAAACCAGTCTTCAGAGAGCCCCAAATCCCTAAGTCTTGGAATTTAAAAATTGTCATTCCCTTGCCCTGGACAGCATTCCCAATGGTTAGAGCGTGGCCTGTGCACCAAAGAGTCATGGGTCAAGGGCATGTTTCTGGGATGCTGGCTCAATCCCCAGCCCCTGGTTGGGGAGAGTATGGGAGACAACCAATCGATGTATCTTTCCCACATCAATGTTTCTCTCTCTCTCTCTCCCTCTCTCTCTCTCTCTCTTTTTTCCATTCTCACTCTCTCCCCCCTCCTTTCCACTGTCTCTGAAAAGTAATGAAAAAAATAGTCTTGGGTAGGGATTAAAAAAAAATTGTCATTCCCACCTTACCTGGAGTTGATGTGGTTGCTATGGTCCTGGTGGACAGCCATTCATTTCTCAAACACCAGCATTTGTGAAACGATAGAAATATAGTTGCCTACATGGAATTTGGAGAAGCAGGAAGAGGGGGCATAGAGGGGATAAATGGTAATGGAAAACATAAAATAATAAAATAAAATAAAATAAATAATAAAATAAAAAATTTTGAAAAAAAAAATAGTCCATGAGTTCCTGTTACTAAGATATCCAATCCTTGGCAACATTACTAGTATGTAGTCCCAGAGATTTTACTATTTAGATTGTCTCTTAATTCCTGTGAACTATCAAATTATTTCAGTAGTTAACCTATCTCAGTTTCTGTTGCTTGCAACCAATGAACTCTAGATTATGCAAGAAACCTATTTCCCACATGGAAAAAGAAAATAAATAAAGTTAGGCCCTTACTTTACACCATATGCAATAATTAATTCAAAATAGATCAAAGACCTAAACATAAAAGTTAAAACTATAAAACTCTTAGAAGAAAACACAGAATCTTCATAACATTGGATTCGGTAATGATTTCTTCGATATGACACTAAAAACACAGGCAACAAAAAAAATAGATAAATTAGACTTCATCAAAATTTAAAATGTTTGTGCATCAAAGGACACTATAAGCAAAGTGAAAAGGCAACCCACAGAACGAGTAAAAATGTTTCCAAATCTTATGTCTAATAAGAGATTAATACCCAAAATATTATATAGCTACAACTCAAGAACAAAAAATTAAATAATTAGGTTATTAAAATGGGCAAAGAATTTGAAGGACATTCCTCCAAAAATAGTATATGAAAATCCATAAGCACATGAAAAGACCCTCAACATCACTACTCATTAGGGAAAGCAAATCAAAATCAAAATGAGATACCTCGTCACACCCAGCAGGATGGCTATTTTTAAAAATCAGAAAATAGGAAATGTTTTCAAGGATGTGAAGAAATTGAAACCCCTGTACATTTCCTAGTCAGAATGTAAAATGGTGTAGCTATCTATTCTACCTAACAGAAATAGTTAGAACGGTAAGTTTTGTTAAGTATATTTTATACATAGCAAAAGGGTCCCCCAAGAACACACTTTGGGAAAGGTTGGCATGTGACATTGTGTCTGGACGTTCAAGGATAAAACCCCGTGGCCAAGCAAGAGGAGGGCTTCACCTCATGGGAGGAGAAACCTATTGGGCCCGGCTCTAAGGGAGGAAGATGCCAGTGTCTCACTCGGTAAAAACTAGGACTCAGAGGGAAGCCAAGAAACGCAGAGCAGAACTGGCTTCTGCTTCTCTGAGTCTTGATGTCCAGACATCCGTGAGGTAGTTCCTGAGGAGGGGGACTTAGGGAAAGCCTTTATTGGAGGCAAGCTTTGGAAGCGTGGAAACCAGGAATCCAGGCCAAAGGCCTGAGACAGTATGCACCCAACGTACACCCCGCCAGGGACTAGGGCTAATTACCGCAGCCATTATAGACTCTACTGTTTACATTCAGATTTCAGGTTGCTTAGCAACCTCAGGATTTAATAAAGGCCTTTTCCAATTTTTAACCTGTTTTCGGTTGCTAAGGGGAACTCCTTTGGCAGGGAGTTTGGCCCACCCTTTGGCCAGGACATGAAACTGAATTACCCACCCCAATGGCACTAAGATTGCCCTAGGGAAAGATGACAATTGAGAATAACAAAGAAAGACAGGATCTTATTAGGCAGTCCCTCACTACTTCCTCCTAGCAACTAATTTCAGGAGGCTCTGGTTTTCATTTGAATAAAGAAAATAATACAACATAGCTACAATTTGTTGAGCTTTCATCATGTGCTAGTGTCCGAACTTTGTATGCATGTTTCTATTTGTTCCCCATAAAAAACCCAAAAGTAAATACCCTTTTTATTCATTTACTCAATTTTTTTATTTAGATGAAAACAAAAAACAAGCTATAAAAGTTTTTACTTGTCCACATAAGCCAGCTGGGAACAGGTGGAGCTGGGATACAGACCCGGGCAACTAGACTCCGAGTCCCCCTCCTCATGGCCATGTCATCTTGTCTTTCAGCCACCCTTGCACATGGCTGCACTGTCTGCATCTCCCTTCTCGGTCACAGGAGGTGGATTCTTTGCGTGCACTTCTGTCTTGTTTCCCACACTCACAGTTAGAACCGGAGGCACCCGGGAAACCCTCGGTCTATCTGTTGAGTGTTGTTCTGCATAAAAGCAGGGGAATGGAAAAAATCAAACTGACTTTTTATGAGAAAAACGCCCTCATCTTCAACACCTAAAATAGCATTTCTCGTTGCCCAATCTGTACTCTCAAAGGCACAATAAAGGAAATAAAATTAAAAGTTCCTTCTGTTGCTGCCAAGAGTGTTGGCATTTTCCCAACCGCTAATGTTTTTTAACTGGCTTCATACATTCCAAGGGACAATGATCAAGGCCAGTCCAATGTGTCAGCAAGTAGGTGAGTGTCTCCACGCTGGAATCCAAAGGGTGAGGTGGGGGTGGGCACCGAGAGACCCTCCTACTCCAAAAGATACACACCTGTAATTTCTCCCTCAAACAATTTCAAGCCATTGATATGCAAACAGCCCCTAATACCCTCTTCTACGTGCATGGCCCTTTAACAACCTGTCGAGAGTTGAATACTCTTGAGAGATTACCCAGCACTTTTACTTGTCTCATCCTGTCATTTAAAAAAACCTTTGGTGTTGGTCTTACTTTTCTTATTTTATATGTGAGGGTTTTAAAGCTCACTGGTGATTAGGAAAGCTGGGACTCGTATCTAAGGCTTTTCACTCCAAGCCCAGTGTCCTCTGGATGTAAGGTATCTGCAGTTATGAACACTCTTTACACAGTTCCTTTGCCTGGCAGAAGCCTGAGCCCATGGCAAGGAAGTTTTGATAGATGTACTGAGAGGGCCACGTCCGGAGGATGGCACAAGGAAGAAGGAAGGCCCCAGCGGGGTGGCAGAGCTCCTCCCTGAGCCCAGCCGTGGTGGCTCAGGGTCATAGCATGTACTCTTGTGGGAAGACATGGCACTGGGGTCTGGAGCCCTGGGTTCCAACTCAGCTGGGTTACTAAGTCACCCTGCGCCAACCGCACTTGCCAGAGTCTCCATTTCTCTCTGTGCAAAAAGGATAAAGAGGCCTGGTATTTCAGGTCCGCTCGAGCTCTTAACTTGAGTCATCTTTTAGCGTCAACAGGTCTGCAAGTGCTACTGGGGAACAAGGGTAATCAACAAACATTATTGTTGAGAGTTTAGCTAAACTCTTCCATGGTAATGCTGCCTCTGCATCCATTTTTTTTTTTTTGCCAAGTGACCTGATGGGGGCTTTAACCTGACACTAGTCCCCTCATACAAACACATGCCGTGCATAGCAGCCCACAGAGTAACATGCAAATGGAAGTTTCTGATATAACTTCCCAGCAGCCCTTGTGAGCAAGTCTCCCCCACACCCTTCCTTACCCCGCCCCTCAGGTAAGAGCCTCTCACCGTTTACCAAAACCCCTTCTTTTTGTTTGAATTGACTAATCCTGCCTTAACCTGAGAACCCCCAAAGCATTCTACAAGCTATCAAAATATCTATAATAATAAAAGCGTAATATGCTAATTAGACCAGGCAACCTTCCGGGTGACCTTCCGGACGACCACGCTATGACACTCACTGGTGCCAGGTCAGCCAAGGCGGGTTCGATGCGGTTGATTGGGGGCCCAGCCATCACCCCATGATCACCCCGCAGAGAGAGGCCCAGGCCACTGGCCGTACGGGGTGATCAATGGTGGGGGGTGGGGGGCTCCACGATCGCCCCAAAGAGGGAGGCCCAGGCCACGGACTGGCAGGCTGCGGCAGGTGGGTGGGGCCTCCCTCAGAGGGAAGCCCAGGTCCTGGGTGCCTGCTGGCTGCTGGAGAGAAGCCCGGGTCCTGGGTACTGGAGGGAAGGAAGGCCTATTCTTGCACGAATTTCATGTACCGGGCCTCTAATTGTAATCATAATCATCTTGTTTGGGGAGGAAAAACATTTAAGAATGCCTTTTTTCAAAGATTTTATTTCTTTTATTATAAGATATATAGGTAAATACTTGCATATTCTAAAAAAGATATAAAATGATAACAAAATGGACATTTTTCTTATTAAGAAACATGTCATAAATATGCTTTATCAAATGTTAAAATGGTTATTATTTTGCAAAATAATAAATAGAGCAGAGCTGTGGGATACAAGAGTCAACTCAAAGTACTGGAAGTATTTATGTTTTATGTCATAAAAATTCAGGCCTTTGATTACACTTAAAAATGTGGCACTTTGCACTCCAGATTATCAATAATTCAGATTTTAAAAATATTTTTATGATGGCCCTGTGACTGTAAAAATAATGAAACACAAAAGATGGTTTGACTAAGTTAATTTGATTAAAATAAATTGCCCTGAATAAAAAATTATAAGACACAGAAGTGAAGATATAATTTTTGAAACCCATAGTGGTACATGTATCAGTCCTCAAGTCTACAAATTTTTGGATCCCCAACTGTGAGCACTGAGCAAAAACCATTTGCAAGGTTTAGTCTCCAGCAGGTCCATCATTTCTTTTCACAGCGTGAGGGAGCAATAACAGTCACGATGAGCTCGATTCCACAGTCCTAGCTCCACAAATATAAGGAACTTCCTCCCTGGAATAAACGCTCTTCTATTTGTTTATGACCCAGTGGCCTCAAATTCAAATATCAGAACCCTGGGGAAATTTTTAATAATGAACAGTTATTTTTCTAGGCATTCTTTTAAGGCTTCGATTCTCTACTACCCAAGGGAAAGAGGAAACACGTGTGAACACCGAACACATCCTCTAATGTCTTGGGTGTTCAAGTCGCAAGGTCAGGCTTTTCCTGTAAATAAACAGCGACTCTTTACAAAGACCTTTCATCTCCCATGCATTTGGTGGCCCATCAGGCCAACACGTACATTCCCAGCTGCAGAAGGGGAAGCCGCATCTCACAATGTTTAAGGATTCAATCTAATATAGATTATCGGTCCCAATGGCCTTCAACGATGTCCACGAGGGGGACATCTGGGTGACTCGGGGTGCCTAGAGCACAGAGAGGTCGTGGCAGGACTTGGACTTAAGCTTGAAGGCCATGTTCTTGTTGTTTTTGGCCACGATCTTGCCCCAGAAGCGCCTGGCTTTCCTGGGGATGCTCTCCCTCCTCTTCTGGTAGGCCAGCCGCCGCTCGTTCTTCTCCTTGCTGTCCCTCCGGAGGCGGACCTGTCGCACAATGCCCTCAAACAGCTCCTTCACGTTGTGCTGGACCGCCGCGGAGGTCTCGATGAACTTGCAGTCGAACACCACCGCACACGCTCTCCCTTCTGCGGGGAGAGGAAGGAGGAACTCAGAGGGGCTGCCCAGTGTGACCCCACCCGGCACACAGCCAAGCTGAGGATTCCTGGTCTTAAGTGGCCCTCACAGTAACTCTGGGTCAGGCGCACATGCAAGGAGTATGGGAAGCCCCTCTGACACACACATGTCCTCCCAGGGCATCATCAGAAGCAAGGAGTCTCCTGGAAGAAGATTCCTGGAAGCGAGAGAGGTGCGCTTCAGACCTGGCCCCCCAAATCCACGGCATGAAGGTCCCAGTTCATCAAAATAGTAATATTTATTGTAACAGTCAAAACCATAGCCTTAATGTATTGCACTTACCACGTGCTGGGAACTGCTTTGTAAACCTTTTTTAATGCAGACAATCTTGGAAAATACATTAACCCTCTTAGATAGATAAAGACACTGGGGGAAGGGCAGTCTTTTAAAAACTTGAAGGAGTTCACACAGCCTCTGAGTGGCATCTGTGAATCCAGGCCTGCTTCATGCTCAAGCTCATATTCATATGTATATTTTATTGATTTTTTACAGAGAGGAAAGGAGAGGGATAGAGAGTTAGAAGCATCGATGAGAGAGAAACATCTATCAGCTGCCTCCTGCACACCCTCTACTGGGGATGTGCCCGCAACCAAGGTACATGCCCTTGACCAGAATCGAACCTGGGACCCTTCAGTCCGCAGGCCGATGCTCTATCCAGTGAGCCAAACCGGCTAGGGCTCAAGCTCATATTCTTAACTCTTCCTCCCGACTCAATTTCCTGAATTGAAAATAAGAATCCTACTACTTGGCTTTCTCCCTTTAAAAAACTTTTTAAAGTTTTGATGAGCTATTTTGAAAAAAATAATTTGAGGAATTCACAAATTCAGCAAACCGTCCAAGCTTTTCGGGAACAGCCTCAACTGCAAATGTTTCATTGTGTTTAATGACCATGTGTCCAAGGTTTGGTTTGAAAAAAGTGATTACCACAGACATTCATTTCCTGACACTCCCAAACAAGGTGTGTCCGTTAAGCCTTTAACAGATATCTTTTCTCCTGAGCAGAGCCTGGTAATGCAGTATTTTATTTTTTAACCATTGTACCGAACCCCAAAGATATCTTAACTGAAATTTAGGAAGCAAAGGGTAGGAGGGTGTTTCTATGGTCTATAGGAACTAGAGGCAGCCTGAGTAGAATTCTTATCCTCAATGAAACTCAGTTCCCCTAAGTCAGAGTTCCCATCCTTCTTGCATGAAGATACTACCTCTACTTCTCTGAACTCTTTGAGATCTCCCTGGAACACAGAAAGGACCAGCAGAAAAGGTTTGGGATTGCCAGTAAACCCTTGAGTATGATATCTTCCCTAAAGGAATCTCAGGGAAACCTTTGCGTGTGGGGAGATTGGAATCCTGCAGGTAGACCAGATGAACAACGGAGCAGCACCCAGCACAGGGATGATTGGCTGGGGATACATAAAACTTCATAAAGCATTTGAATGAGTCCCTAGTTCCAACTGCATGAAAGAGCAGAGGAAGAAAACCTGTTTGAAAGAAAACCCGGAGAGTGTTTCTATGGTCTTAGCACCAGTCCTCTTACCTGAAATAGACACTTCCCGGCACCGCACCAGGTCACTTTTGTTGCCAACCAAAATTATAGGAATGTCCTCTGTCTGCCGGGCCCTGCGGAGCTGGATCCGCAGCTCGGATGCCTTCTCAAAACTGGCTCGGTCTGTGATGGAGTAGACGATCAGGTAGGCGTCCCCGACCTGCATGCAGTGGTCCTGCAGCCACTCGTTCTCCCCCTAATGGATGAGAAGGTCTCCCGTGAGCGCAGGTTGGCCTGGTGAATGAGGCTTCAGTTTGCAAAATAAGTGTTATCTTAAAGTACCCTTGCTGGTCTGAGATAGAAATGAAACTTGTTCCAACTCCCCAAAATGCATCATGTCTGGTGGCTGTAAAGACTGCTAGCCCATAAAGTACTTGCCAAAAAGTTTTTACTGTCCAATTGAGTTGATAACTTATACAATGACTCTGCCAAACATTTCCATTTTCTGTCTAAACTACTAAAAATGTGCCTTTTCTGACTTCCGAAAAACTCCCTTTGCCTTTCCCAGGTGATAAAATTAAGAATCGTCTTGTGAGAATTAGGAGGCTTTTCAATAAATAGAACGTCTAGCATATATACACAGAAGCCCAAATCTTTAAAAAGCAAATGTTGAAGGCTAGTATTGAGATTGTCAACTTTATATAATGTGATTTTATATAGTTTACTAGTGAAATTACCATTCACACTTGTTGGCTCTTTCCCTAAAACAAATATTTTTAAAGTATTTTTTAGTAGAGCTGAGGGCGAATCACTGCAACTTGCTTATTATTCAGAGCTCATTTGTGAATGATCTGCTCCTTAGAATAGTGTCATATTTCATAAGTAAAAGCTTTTTCTTTTTTGTATTTGGGAAGTTAAGTCATTTTATTTAATTTATCTTTATTGTTGAAAGTATTACAGATGTCCCCCCCTTTTTTCTCCTTTGAGCTCTGCAGACAGATCACAATGAGGGCGTGTCCCGTATTTATTTCTTCTACCCTCACCCCACCCACCCACCATCCCTCCACTCCCCCCACTTAGCACACATTTATACACCCAGATGTCCGACTTCTCCATCCATCATTGATCCAGCTACATGCCTGTCCATCCACCCACCCGTGCACACATCTTTGTGCCCACTTGCCCATCCATGGCTGCTTCCAACTCTCCCAGCAAGTGCTCTCCCGCACCAGTCCTGTGCCGGTCCTGTGCTAGGGTCACGGGGCATGCAGAGATTAAAATGAATTAAGTTTACAATGTTCAAGAAAATCTTGGTCTAAGTCTGTATTCACTCCAGGTCACCTTCCAGGTGACTATTTGTTGAGCTCCTCCTATCAGTCAGGTGTTTCAGGCACTGGGCACAGATAGACACTGTTACTCTACCCCCTCCCACTTTACAGACGAAGAAACTGAGGCTCAGAGGTTATAGTGCAGTGGTTCTCAACCTTCTTAATGCTGCGACCCTTTAATACAGTTCCTCATGTTGTGGTGACCCCCAACCATAAACTTATTTTTGTTGCTACTTCATAACTGTAATTTTGCTACTGTTATGAATCGTAATGTAAATATCTGATATGCAGGATGTATTTTCATTGTTACAAATTGAACATAATTAAAGCATAGTGATTAATCACAAAAACAATATGTAATTATATATGTGTTTTCCGATGGTCTTAGGCGACCCCTGTGAAAGGGTCGTTCGGCCCCCAAAGGGGTCGCGACCCACAGGTTGAGAACCGCTGCTTTAGAGCTTTTGACTCAGATTCAAGCTCCGATGCCATGAGAAAACACTAACTGCCCAGTGGAACTGTCAGCCTCGTTCATAAGCCTTCCAACCCCCCTGCCCTTCAGTGGGGTGGCTGCTGGGCATTCACTGGCAATTTCAGGAACTTTGAGCTCAGAAACGTTTCTCTTTTTTTGAGACATGCAGGAAAAAAATCTCAAGACTGTCCCTGTTTTCTTCCTTAAAAAAATACATTTCCCTCGGAATAAACAGGCAGCAGCCTCCAGCTCTACTTGATAATGGAAACTTTTTCTCTTTTTTTGAGACATGCAGGGAAAAAAATCTTGAGACTGTCCCTGTTTTCTTCCTTAAAAAAATGCATTTCCCTCTGAATAAGCAGGCAGCAGCCTCCAGCTCTACTTGATAATGGAAACTTTCCTCCCTGCACTTGAGCTCAGATTGAACGTAGATGAAGAGTGAACCAGTGTAATGGGCCAGTGCAACTCCATCCCAGAAAAACCACTGGGGCAGGGGATTTACTGAGTTAACTGGAATTTTTGCAAATAAGATTCCTATCATCTCCATAAGTGAGCCCATCCCACTCTATTTTCACATTCGTCATTTAAAACGTATAATTTTTATAATTTTTTCTTTTACCATTTTTCTTGCTGTTCCTTTTGCCTGGAGTCTGTTCCCTCAAATATCCAAAAGACTTGTTCCCTTACCTCCTTCTGGGCGAGGCGTTCCCTGACCATCTATTTAAACACCTCTTCTCTGCTAACATCCCTTCCTCCCGTTCTATTTTTCTTCATTGTGCTTATCTCCATCTAACATGCAATCCCTTTAACTAACTTATTTTATCACTTTATGTCTCTCTCCTCTGAATGTGAAGACATGGATTTACCTCTGTGCTGTTTACTGCTCTAACCCCCGGCACCCAGGACAGTGCCTGGAATATTGCGAGTGCTCAGTAAATACTTATTAATTGAATGAATGAACCATAAAAATAGCCACCGGCATCCACCAGCCTTCACAAAGAAAGAGAAAAGCAATGGTACCGTTCTGACCCTCTCTCTCCCTTGACTCTTGTTTAGCTATCGTCCCTGAGAGCCCCGCATGAGAAGAGAGATTGATGTTCTAATGAGTCATCATTGATAGCCCAGAACTGGAACTTGCCTTAAGACGCAGTGAGTTCCCTGACACTGGAGACAGTCAAGAAAAATAAACATTTCATGAACGTGGGAAGACAGTACTAAGGATGGAGCAAGATTCCTATGCAACAAGTGCAGGGCAGAACTGAGCCATAACCAGAGCATCTTCTGCTCTGTGGAGTTCGTGATTCGCAACTGAAGGTACAGACAGACCATGCCACTTGGGCCACCAGAGCATCTTCTGCTCTGTGGAGTCTGTGATTCATCTGTGACTCGCAACTGAAGGTACAGACAGACCATGCCACTTGGGCAGGCACTGGAAGGTTCTCTCTTCCTGTCTACAGCTGCGAATGGGGACATGCAGCCACCCTGGCCGGGTATGCTAAGACTGAAACCATGGCTGAAAGACACTGTATGAGTACCATGGACAATGAGGATCTTCCTATCACGTCCCAGAATATGGCGCTATGCTTTGCACGTACCTGAGGCACCCATGTATACTTTGGTATATGTATCATTATTGCTATAATGCAAAAAAATTTTTTGCACGATTTCAAATACAAATTTTAAACTATTTTACACCCTCAAACAAACGCTAACATTGGTGGAAATAAAGTGATGGATCAGTTTCTCAAATCGACTTCGATTTAGGAATAGCCACGGAGAAAAGCCGCCGCTACACTGAACTCTTGAAAAGTCCAGGGCAGAGTTGGCAAGAGCCAGAGGTGGGCGCCCGACCCTCTAGCTCTGTCCTGATGAATCAGTGCCCCCAACCCCACCCCGCTCAGCCCCGTTAGAGCTGGGACCTAAGAAATCCCCTCCCGGCCCAGGCTTTTATCTAGAAGCATTTTCATCTCATTGTCCCACCGGCTGGTGCCAACAGGCCAGGGCTTTTCGGTGCCAAGAATGCGTAACTGCAGCGCTCAGCTCTGTGGATAAATGACCCGCCCGCTGGCTCCTGCTGCGGGGGCTACTGCGGGGCGGACAGAGCCCGGAGGGGCGGGGCCACCTACCTCCCAGCACCTCGCAGTCGCTGTCCATGCTGTCGTGCACGCCCGCGAAGATGTTGGCCAGCGTGGACTTGCCCACCCCCTGCTCCCCGATGAGCACCACCCGGTAGTAGGTGTTCTCGGACTCGGAGGAGATGACCGAGTCGGTGGAGTCGGAGGACCAGCTCCGGCGGCAGGGGTCCTCGGGGGCCGCGGGGCGCTGGCCTCGCTGGCTGGGCTCCCTCTGGATCATGAGGTTCCTGCCGTCCGCGGGGACGCTCCAGCGCTGCTGCTGCGGCTGCACGCCCACGGGGCCCGGGCGCAGGGTGACATGGTTGAGAGTCATCGCTGGGTCCTGGGGAGCAAAGCGGCGGCGTGTCAGCGGTGGTGAGAGTGCTGAGCACCGAGCGGGAACGCGGGGGCTCACACACACGGTTCGCCATCAGCGATCCTCCACCAAGTGGGCGAGACCCACCGAGTCCTCACCGAAGGGACGTCAATGAAACAGCCCCAAGCGCAACAGGCTTTCTCAACTGGACACACACACACACACACACACACACGCACAATTAGCCACCAGCTCCTTGGCTGGGTTGTCATTTGCAAAGAGGAAAAAAGTACCGTTAGCATCGCCCAGCGCCCCGGATCTCCCTCCATCCTCAAGGAACCCGTGGGACACCCCCCCCCCCCCCGGCTGGCACAGAGTCAGCCAGAAGGGAGCACAGCCTCCGGGATGGCTTGCAAACCGGGAGTTAACGGCGCGGGGGCCCGGGGGGCCGGGGGAGCTGCTCTGGTCTGGTCATGGCTCTGGACGGCACTGGCGCCCGCGGGCCCGTGCGCCTGGGGGGAGACACATGGCAGTGACGTCACTCCTCACGGCACCGCACTGATTGGAACTTCCATGTTTAGTCAAGTTGCCCCGACGCTCCCCGGCTGCCTGAATCAGCCGTTATCTGGGGGGAGGGGGCCGCAATCACGAATCTGTTGGAGGTCTGTCCTCCGCTCTGCCCTCTCGCCCGCGGGCACCACGTTTAAACGCCCCCGCCCCCAGCCTGGTCGCCCGGGCAGGGACAGGACCCGCTTCCGTTCAGACCCCATCAAAGTTGCAGAGAAAACGCTGAATTCTCATCCGACGAGGCCCGCTCCCAGTCCTTTCATGCAACTCAGATGCCCAGCTTCTCGAAGCAAACAGAAGGTCAGAGGCTCTCCCTGCTCAAAGGGCATGCAGCGACTTGGCAACGGCGTCCCCTCTGCCAGACCCCTCCCCTGGCACGGAGGCCTTTCCTGCAGGCTGCCCGCGAAATAATAAAGTATCAGAAAGCAGAAGCTTTCTCATCTTCATCGGCCAGACCCACTCGTGAAAACACGAGGAGCACAGACACTCCCCTTTCCACATCGCCCCACACTCCGCACCCCAACACGCCGGCCACCGGCCAGGACGCCTGCTCGGCGGCTTCTTCCTGCCCCCCCTCCCCATGGACATCCCAACAGAAGCCAGAGGTGTCCCCGACGGCTGCCTTCCGACCGCTCGGTCTGCAGGAGGGTGACCTCCCCCTGAACGGGAATGAAGAACCTGCCGGGAACGGCTCCCCTTGCACCTTGCAGTCGCCTCCACCCGGAGCGCCAGCCGCGGCTTCCAGGGCTCCGCTCTCAACTTAGACAGTTTCGGGGTCTGGGAAGCCCACCCCCTCCCCAATCACTCCCTGGGGGAGCCCCCTCCCTCCCAGAGGAGCCCCTTACCTGGCCTTGCCAC